CCTAAAGTATGTTATTAAACATCTGCCTAATCAAGAAATCTCCTCCAATTCAAATGAATTAATGCCATCCCGTTTGAATTAGTAAGGAAAGTCTGAATTAAATACATTGAGGCAGATGCTGTCGGTGCCTCAGCCTTTACTATGTATGTCCGGCTGCCAGCACTGGGGCCCCTTTGCCCAAGACTTTATCTAGACACTGGAGCTCACTCTGCGGCACCTGGCTCCCATAGACATCTGGGGAGCAGACCTTAAAAATGACTGATGGAAACTGGTAGAACAATATCCCATTGCTTCACCTCATCGGGGAGTTGGTTCTGAAGTTTGTGTTATACTGGGTCCCAAGTCCCCAGCTGGATTAAGTCTCAGTTGTTCATAGTGGTAACTGTATTGATAACCCAAATCATCTGGATTGCTTTTTCTTCCTGCCTCTCTCTCTCTTTTTAATATAATTTTTTATTTATTTCAGAGAGGAAGAGAGAGAGAGGTAGAAACATCAATGATGAGAGAGAATCATTGATAGGCTGCCTCCTGCACGCTCCACACTGGGGATTGAGCTTGCAACAGGGCACGTGCCCTGACCAGGAATCAAACCGTGACCTTCCGGTTCATAGGTCGATGCTCAACCACTGAGCCAGGCCAGCCAAGCTTCCTTGCCTCTCTTCCCCATTTTCTAATATTTCTTAGTTTCCCAAATAAACCACATATTCTTTTTGGTTATTGTTGACACTATTACAGACTTCCACCACCACCCCTTTGCCCACCTCCACCCAGCCCTTGCCCCACCCTGGCCTAGCCACACTGTTGTCTGGGGCTGTGGGCTATGTATATATGTTCTTTGGCTGACCTCTTTACCTTCTTTAATCCAGTACCTCCTGTCCCTCTCCCTTCTGAGATCTGTCAGGCTGTTCCATGCTTCCATGTCTTTGGACCTATTTTGTTCGTCAGTCTATTTTGTTCATTAGATTCCACATATTAGTGAGATCATATGGTATCTGCCTTTCTCCGACTGTCTTATTTCACTTAGCATAATAATCTCCAAGTTCATTCATGCCATTGCAAAGGGTAAGAGTTCCTTCTTTTTTATAGTCAAGTAGTATTCCATTGTGTAAACGTACCACAGCTTTTATATATATATATAATTGATTTCAGAGAGGAAGGGAGAAGGAGAGAGAGATAGAAACATCAATTACAAGAGATAATAATCAATCAGCTGCCTCTTGCACACCCCTTACTGGGGATCGAGCCCTCAACCCGAGTATGTCACCTAACCCGGAATTGAACTGTGACCTCCTGGTTCATAGGTTGATGCTCAACCACTGAGCCAGGCTTGGCAGGTATACCACAGCTTTTTTTATCCATTCAAGTGATGATGGGCACTTGGGCTGTTTCCAGATCTTGGTTATTATAAATTAGCTTCTATGAAGATAGAAGTGTATATATTCTTTCTGATTGGTGTTTTGGGATTCTTAGGATATATTCCCAGAAGTGGAATCACTGGGCCAAAGGCAGTTCATTTTTAATTTTTTGAGGAAACTCCATACCATTGTCCACAGTGGCTGCACGAATCTGCATTCCCACCAGGGTTCCCTTTTCTCCACATCCTCTCCAGTACGTGTTGTTTGTTGATTTATTTATTTATTCATTCATTCTGACAGGTGTAAGGTGATGCCTCATTGTACTTTTAATTTGTATTTCTCTGATTATTAGTGATGTTGAGCATTTTTTTATATATCTACTGGCCATCTGTGTGTCTTCTTTGGAGAAGTGTCTATTCATAAGGTCCTTTGCCCATTTTTAAATTGAATTGTTTGTCTTCCTGGTGTTGAGTTATATAAGTTTTTTATATATTTTGGAGATTAATACTCTATCAGATGTATCATTGGTGAGTATGTTCTCCCATACAGTGGGCTCCCATACAGTGGGCTCCCTTTTCACTTTGCTGTAGAGAAGCTTTCTAGTTTGATGTAATAACATAGTGTTATAGTTTTAAGTCTTATGTTTAGGTCTTTGGTTAATTTTAAGTTCTTAAAAGTGTATATTCAATAGTTTTTCAAATTATTTTTTAGAGAAAGAAAGGAAGGGAGAGAGAGTGAGAGAAACATCAATTTGTTGTTCCACTTACCTATGCATTCACTGGTTGACGCATATGTGCCCTGACCAGAGATCGAACCTACAACCTTGGCCTATTGGGACAATGCTCTAACCAACTGAGCTATTCAGCCAGGGAGTTATTTCAGTTGATTTTTTTTATGTGGTATAAGGTAAGGCTCCAATTTAATTTTTTGATAAATAATGTGATAAATAATTTTTAAAATAAGCCTCAATTATTATGAATTAATATGAATAGTTTTACTACAGGAGAGGGAGGACAATTTATTACCTTTAATAGTCCTCCTAAAGCCTGTTTATATTGTGGATTCCTGGTCAATTGCTCACAATTGTAAGAGAACTAATTCAATGGCAGGTACAGAATAATAATTCTGAACTCAAGGTTTTTTGTTTGTTTAACATTTTTATTGTTTTCAGAGAGGAAGGGAGAGAAAGAGAGCGATAGAAACATCAATGATAAGAGAAAAATTATTGAGCGGCTACCTCCTACATGCCCCCCACTGGGGATCGAGCCCACAACCCGGGCATGTGCCCTGACTGGGAATTGAACTGTAACCTGATTCATAGATCAATGCTCAACCACTAAGACTCACCGGCTGGGATTTGACTGGAACACAAATGAGTGGTTAACATCAATGTCTTTTTCCTGACTTTAGACAGGGAAATTGATTGTGATATTTAAGAAATGAGGATATACTTTTGTTTAATATATTTTATTAATTTTTTTACAGAGAGGAAGGGAGAGAGAAACATCGATCAGCTGCCTCCTGCACATCCCCCACTGGGGATGTGCCCGCAACCAAGGTACATGCCCTTGACTGGAATTGAACCTGGGACCCTTTAGTCCGCAGGCTGATGCTCTATCCACTGAGCCAAACCAGTGAGGGCAGAGCATACATTTTTAAAAGCTCTAGAGGTATAGGCAGGCCCATTGTCTGTTTTAAGTGCCCTTGGTATTCCTAGGTAGGAAAAAAATTGGAATAAATGTTGACTTACATCTTTAAAGGCTTCTCCTGTACGTGCAGAAGCAAGGATAATATGAGAAAAGGTATCAATACAAACATGCACCTAGCAAAGTTTGCCAAAAGATGGGACATGAGTAATATCCATCTGCCATAAGTCACAGGGTCTAAGTCCTCTTGGATTAACTCCAGTAGCAGGGCTAGGAAAATGAGTAGGACAATGGCCGCAGTCACGCACAATACTTCGAGCAGCTTCTCTAGATATGCGATAATATAGACGGAGAGCAGAAGCATTTTGATGGTGAATGGCATGAGACCGCCGGGCTTCTTCTAGAGCTGTACAAACTACTGGGCGAGTTAGTAGATC